TCATGCAATTGGATAATTCTAAGAGGATTTTCTGTAGCGGTATTGTTGACGAGGGTTGTGTGTATGATGGTGCGGTCATCTTTCTAACTCCTCTTTGTCGGTTTAGCAGCTGTTCTTGGTCTAATAGTTCTGCCTAAATAATGATACACATAGCAGTATACACATCCCCCCCCCCCCAGCACACACATTCAACGGGGGATGGAGAATATGTATGCGCTGCTATATGTATCTAATATTCGGCTCTATTGAGACAAATTGGTGGTCATATAGTATGTTTGTTATGTGGTTTTCGTTTTTTTATAGGATAGGGTAGTTTTTGTTTTTTTAGGGGATAAGGTTGGTTTTCATTCTTTTTTATGGGATAAAGTAGGTTTTCGTTTTTTTTGAATAAAGAAGAGTAAAAAAATTTATTCTTGGTACCTATTTATGCTAAAACGTGGATGCGTCAACGCATTAAAAATATTTGATAGATGAGGTAGTAGACCACAATATTTTTTATCACAGAGCAGAGTTTTATAGCAGCCATAAATGCGAGTCATACACAAATTATGCAAATTCACTACATATCTTCCTATTATTATAGATAAACAATTAAATTATGAAAGCTTGCATCTAGATTCTCTGATTCTTTGCACGTCCATTTCCGGTTTACAATTTAATTTTTGTCTGAAATAATTTGTTTAAAAAATGCAGTCTTCAATACAGTAAATTTTAGTTGTTATTATCAATCTCACTTATTAGTGAATATCTTTGTTCACGTTCACATGAGAAAGTTTTTATGAAAAAAATTATAGCGTCTCCTTAAACTCGATTAAATGTTCCTTAAAGTTAGAAATCAATATCATAATATAATGATATAGCAGTGACTCGAGATTCCGTTCATTCGGGATGTTGTTTTCACGGGAGTTAGTCGGATTTATGAACTGTTTAGATTGTGTGCATTTATTTCTAATTCCTAAATTTGTAAATAAGACATAACGCGTATTTATGGAGGGTTGACTGTATATGTATAATCATCACTGTGCTGTGCTTTAGAACAGTTCGAATCTATTTTTGAATAGCTTAGTTGTATTAGAAAAATTAGAAAATAATAAAGTATCTTTAAAAATCTATCTCTTTTATAGTTTGCTTTGCATCATGTAAATTTAACGCAACTTCATCGTCATTTGATCTTTTTCTTGATATCGCTATCATAACTTCATAAATATATCCAGGTATTATTATACATAATATATACCCGAGTATTATACATAGAGAACAACATAGTGTGCGTATAGTGAATCGGAAAATCCAATTTTGTCCATACAATATACAATGAGATATACTTTATCTATGCAAAATACTCTTCCAAGTATAATACCTGGTACTAATTGAATTTTGCCATGGAATGTATAACGCTTGCGGTACTATACTATCAGGCGACACCCGAGAGGTTTATACACAACGACGACGGTGGCATAATTCAGTCAAGTTACATGCGATTATATATCAGGATAACGATGTTATTTTCATCGTTGGGTCACATGCAAATTATAATTGATGATTCAGGCAACATAGTAGCGACAGAGTTAAACTATATTAGTATGTGGTGCATCCCGCATTCAAAGACAGTGCATTCTATATTCTAGCTACACGTTGATAAATATGATTTGAAATTTATCACATATTATTATGGCGTCCTTGCTAATAATGTAATAAAAATTTCCAGATTGATCTCTTGTAGAGTATGCATTAGTTTTGATCTAATTACGATTATTTTATTATTCCAGAGACCGACATAAACATATACATGAAGCCCATGGTTTGTCTCGGCAAACAACAACGGAAGTTATATGATGCTATGCCTATTGAAAGTCAAATATTTGGAAAGACAGATGGTTATTTAACTTTAGTTCGTAGGTTTCTTATTTGTTCCCAGCGTATGGTAAGTTCTTTGTCTGCTCCCCATTACATGACAGATATGTTATGATAAACTTTACAATTGAAAAGGTTTCACAAGTTTTCTTTCTAATTTTAAATTAAGATTGATTAGGCTAAAAACAAAAATTGAAGATGTAATATGGTATATCTCTTTGGGACAAAGATTCATTAAGTATGAAAATAATATAACGAATTTATTTGTGTATCGGTATTTATTCGACTTTGAGAAACAATTTTTTTATTGAATTATATTATTACTACATAAAGAAAGACATTGTTGAAAGTAAACTAACATCGGGGCATTAATCTACAACACTTACTTTTCCTAAATGGAATAAAAACATAATAGAATCTAGTTTTTTATATGTAAAAATATTAATAATTTTCCATTGAATTTGTTATATATACTCTATTAACACGTTCCACAGTATAGGCTCATGTTGAGAGAAATACGACCACAACAACTGCCCAATGCCTATATTGACTATGGAAGTAGAGTCATCAATAACAGGAAATATATTTTTCGGAATAAAATGAATTCTGTGTTTACCGATATCCAAAGAATGTTTATTAAAAATGTGTCTGAAGCTTAAATTCATTATATTCCGAGTTTAATTAGTATTCGTTACATAGTGAGTTCACTACATCCAGAGCGACCATGGAAATTTTTAAAATCTAAAGTAACGATATAAGTTCCCTCACTGTAATAACAAATCCAAGTCCACCAGCGTTTCTACCGGCACCCCACGCCCTTTTTAAGGACGGGAAAATTAACAAATCTGTAAAACAAGGGCTTTAAGGCTACTCTACTACTTACAATATACCTTTTGTTTCTGCTATTTTAATAACAGAACCAAGTATATATTATATTCAAACACAACACATTTTTACTAAAATTTAAAATTTTTTCATATTTTATTTTTTTTATTAAAATAAATTTACATATTACAAATAGTATTACTATAAATTATAATTACAATTATTACAATGTTCTAGTTAGATTTTAATATAATCCTCCTATGATGATTGCATAAATGTTTACTTAATCTAATCTAATGCAAGTCAAATTAAAAATTTTAATTTTATGTATATAAAAAATGCACATTCTAGTGCAATAAACGTTTGTTTTTAAGCATTTAAATGCTTGTTTTAATATTGTTCATTAAATTGAGAATGTTTTAAAGAATTAAAATGTTTATCGTTATTGATTTTGTTGACCTGCATGTTTGCATGATATGTGATTTTTCAATTATTGTTGACTTGCATGTTTGTATGGTATGTGTGGTGTATGTGATTTTTTGATTTTTGTTGACTTGCATGTTTGCATGATTTATATGGTGTATGCGATCCTTTGATTTTGTTGACTTGCATGTTTGCATAGCTTGTATGATGAACGTCATCTGTTGATTTTGTAGACTCGCATGTTTGCATGATATGTGGTTCTTTGATTTTATTGACTTGCAATCATCATAGCATCCCAACCATTACTTTCTGCCTGATTCTTCAACTATCCTTCATCCACCTAACCGTCCTTCCACTCCTTTCCATCCAATCCTCCAATAATCCTTCTCCCCACCTAACCGTCTGGTTAGAAACACCCAAGCCCTACCAAGTGACAAGAAATTGTCACTTAATATGGCTGGAGTCAGATACTGCCCCAACACATCGCAGCACTGCATCGGTTACTCCACTCCTATCTCTCCGGTCCTTCAACAAAGCACTGTCGCTTCTCCAGGCACCCCTCACAATACCTACCTGCCGTGATGAGAGGTAGTAAATGCCC